ACCCACGGCCCAATGGCGGAGGCACGTGGGCACGCTGGGGGTGGGCCCGGCGCGCCGGACTGTTCGAGAAGATCCGGATAGCGCCTCCCGGCCATGCTCTGAACCGACTCTGGGCTTTTAGCACGCCGGGTGCCCTCATCTTCCTCTGCTGGGGCAGCTATGGCAGCCGTGAAGACCCTGAACCCCAAGGCCGAGGTGGCCCGAGCCCAGGCGGCGTTGGCGGTCAACATCAGTGCGGCCCGGGGGCTGCAGGATGTGCTGAGGACCAACTTGGGGCCTAAGGGCACCATGAAGATGTAAGGCGGGGTCGGCGGGGAGGGCCGGGCGGGTACCGCGCACCTCGCGCGGTCTCGGGCCTGGTGCTGGGGATCGCGGTCTTGAGCCCGTCGTCTCTGAGTATCTGAGCTCGCCACTGCGGCCCTTCTTAACCGCATTCTCCCAAGTAGTTCCTATTTTCCGCCCTAGCCATTTTCTCTTGTAGATGCCGTCTCCGCGGAGAACAAAGCTGCCCGCATGGGCGCCGCTCTCCCCGCGGTCTGGGACTTAAGCGACCTGAGTTTTCGGCAGTCTTTCCCAGGCGGAAGGGGGTGGACACTGCACCGTTCCTGTTACCGGGAGCAGAGACCCTGTCCCAATGCCCCAGCTTCTTAGGATCTGGATAAAGCCCGATTTTTATGGGATTCTTGGTCGCCATTGAAAAAGTTACACTGTGCTTTGTTTCTGCCCATTGAACAGGCTTGTTTCTGGTGCTGGAGACATCAAGCTTACTAAAGATGGAAATGTTCTGCTTCACGAGATGGTGAGAGGTTGCTATACTAAGTCAAAAATGTCTTGGTTTTCTGTAGTACATGTGACTTGTAGAGAGATTTTTAATGTTCGTTTTCAAGGTAGGAGAAAATCATTTGCTCTCAACAGGTAGTTTTCCAGACAATGGAAGTAGAAAAGGAATATAATCAGTAATGTTATTGACAATACAACACAGTGAGGAACCCTGGAGTCCGATATACTTACTTTTGAATCTCTATTTTTGTCATTTAAGGCCTTGATTAAAGGATTGTAATGATTAAAATAAATTCTAATAAAATCTGAAATAACTAAGAGAAATTGACATCATCAGATAGGCAAAATGCAACAGAATAGTTATACTTATTTCCTTTAAAACTGGAGTTCTCTGTTATATTTCATCTCTCCACCACCGACTAGAGGGGAAATAAAAGTCTTTACCATTTTTAAAGTTCCAGTGACTAAGAATATGAGGTTATTGAGAGGAGCAGTCGTTTTTCTCATCTCTGAGTTCAGATCCAAGAAAAGGAAATGACTTCCCTGTGTTTTGAGTTTTAAGTTTAGGGTTTTGATGGCACTGTACCATGTTAACATCCCAGGTGTTTGTAAATACCTTCAGTAAGGACTAGCTAACCTAGAACGTGTGTTTTTTGTTTGTTGGCTAAGTAGTGGCCAGGGCTAGCAGAGAGCATTTGGAGTCATAGTTTAAACTTGCTATGTCGTAAAAGTCATATCTACATGGCTTTTCTATTTTACGTAATTTAATGAGATTATCTGTGAAATGATTGGCTTAGATTCTTAAACTATCAGTGTCCCCAAAGACAAAAACCAAAAGCAGTGCAAGAGCCATGATTGGATCCTTTGTAATTAAGAATCTGTGAGTTGCAGGCATGAATATCGTGCTTTTCCAAAACGTTTCCTTACAGTGATGTAGCATCCACTGATGATCTTTGCTAAAAGGGCTATTTTTAAAAAATTCTGAGGCTGCTGGGCTTTCATTTATTCTCAGAAGAATCCTGGATTTGTCATAAAGAGACATGCATGGATTTGAAATTGTTGCTCTTACTAGTTAGCTCTATCACCTTGAGTAAGCCTTAATGAAGCCTCAAATTTATATTTAGAAATGGTTTGATCATCATAAACTGTTAATACAAAATAGCTAATGGTGAGTTTTTCATCAGCGTAATATGTAGCTGCACACTTGGGCATTTTGTGCAAGTAGATTAGCCCTTTACACTATTTTAAGGTATATATGGACTGTTTTAATTTAACTTGTTTAAGGATTTTTTTCTTCTACTTTCAGCAAATTCAACACCCAACAGCCTCCTTAATAGCCAAAGTAGCAACAGCCCAGGATGACATAACTGGTGATGGTACCACTTCCAATGTCCTAATCATTGGAGAGCTCCTGAAACAGGCGGATCTCTACATTTCTGAAGTATACATGATTCTTGTGTTTCTGTGATATTTTACTGTGGATAGGAAATGATCTGAGTCTTATTTATACACAGTCATGTGTTACTAGTAGCAGAGGCCATACAGTAGAATATCAAGGGGCTTAAATCTGAGGACAAGAGTCTATATCCTAATCTGACACAAATTTGTTATGATCCTAGAAAAGTTAAAGAATTTTTCTTGGCCTAAAAGCTGTTTGGTTTTTTTTTAAATCAAGTTGCATTATATATATGATTTTTATCTATAACATGGATTAATAATTGAGATTTAGAAATGGGATATTCACGATTGGCATATTTAAAAGGAAAAGGCCAACAAAAAATTTTAAATAAGAGTTCTACAACTTTTTTAGCACTCAGTAGTTCCAAGGTTAAAGCAGACCTCAGTGACTACTAGCCTGTTGTCAGGAAGAATTTCCTGGGAGGAGAGAGAAAGGAGATGCTTAGTCTGTTTATTTTTTATTAGATGATGAGAATTAATTTCAGATTATCTATAGAAAAGATACAGTCCTGCTGACTGCAAATTGATAGGACATGGTTTTGAGTTTTGGGCATTATTCCTTTTGGTTTGCACAATGAACACCCAAGTGTGCTTTATAGTGCCCTTGGCTTTGACTCTGTGCTAGAGCAATGTCTGTTCTTTTCCTCTGCATTGAAAGGACTATTAATCCTTTTAAATGTATTCAGAAAGTCAGAACATTATGTTAATTGCG